TATTTCATAAGAGGATGTTTTGTTTGGGCTTAAAAAAATGAGAAAGAAAAGAAAAAACTATTTGCTTTCTGGCAGCACACACACATCGTTGCTGAAGTTTGGTTTCAAATTTGATGACTGGGACATTATTCCGGGTTTGCCTGGAATCCAAGCCTTTGACATCGGAGGCAGAGGAAGCAGGAACGCAGCAAAGGCGAGTTTCAGGCGGGCCAGGCCTCTCCTCCGCTCTGTCCTGTGAGCCGATCGGGGCTTCTTCAGCGCCCCAGGAAACCACGATCCCGAGGTGGGGGCCTCCAGGGTCACACACGAGACAAAAGCAGCTTGGAAGCAGGAGCCTTCGTGCGGTTCTGAGACACAGACGGAGAGAAAAATAACACACAAAGGGTTCTCCTGGTATCCTTTTTAGGGTAAGAGATGAGACCCTAAAACAGCGCAGCAACACAGCATCAGCTCCAAAAAAAGGGCCTGGCGGCTGCAAAACCCAAGTTTGATCAACCTCTGCCATTTCGGGGCTGGGTTACCTGGGATGAACTAACTTCTTTCTCACTTTCTTCATCTTTAAAATGGGAAGAATAAAATTATTTACTAAAAGAGGTGTAGTAAGGGATAAAAGAGTGGGAAAATGGGTCCAGAAAAGTAAGGTGCTCTGCCGGAACTGGTGGTGCACGCCTGGAATCCCAGCACTTGGGAGGCTGAGGCAGGAGGATTGCTGTGAGTTCAAAGTCAACCCCGGCTATATATCAAGTTTATGGCCAGACTGAACTACACCGCAAGAGCCTGTCTCAAAAGACAAAAACAGAAGGAAAGAAAAAGAAAGAGAGAGGGAGAGAGAAAGAGAGAAGGAAGGAAGAAAGGAAGGAAGAAGGAAGGCAGGAAGATGCACCTCATGTAATTTGTGTAACAGGACAAGCAGGGAGGAGGACAGGGAGGGCAGAGTGACAGCCGCTCAGCAACGGTGACTGCCGGAGCGGAGTCCTTCCAGGTGACATGGACACACTTGCCCATCAGACACATGCGTGTCACAGCCTGCGCCCCGCCCATCCACACGGCCATTACTGAGCAAATGTCGCTGTGCAGTGCGTGAGGTACCCGGCGGCTTCCTGCTTCTGTGAGGAACAGCGGGTTACGAGGAGAAGCGCTATGGGCCCAGTTCCACACGCCGGCCACCCCAGCCCTGGGGGACAGAGAAGACCACAGCTAGAACCACCCTTGATTTCCACTTGGAGCCCTGGCGCTGGAGAGAAGGCCAAGCCACTGACACCCTTGGGGGAGGTGTCCAAGGCCAGCGGGGTGGTGCACGCCGGCCATCCTAGCACTGTGGAAGGCTGAGGCAGGAGGATCTCAAGTTTGAGACCAACCTGGGCAATGTAGTGATTTAGTGACACCCTGTGTCAACAAAGGGGGTGGGGGTGCAGCTTAGTGCAAAGGTCCTGCATTCCATCCCCAGGACCACCAAAAAAGAGAAGCACAACAAAGGATGTAATGGTCACCTATATTCCCAACACTTTCGGTTTATTTAAGAAATTAAGCAGGAGAGATAAAGCTGAGGCCTCCTTATCTACTACAAAAGTGCTGGAAAGAACTAATGGTTTTGCTGTTCAGACTTCTGAGGTTTTTAAAATAATGTAACAGTCAGGCGTGGTGGTACATGCCTGTAATCTCAGCACTCAGGGAGGCTGAGGCAGGAGGATCACTTTGAGCTCCAGGCCAGCCTGGGCTACAAAGTGAGTTCAAGGACAGCCTGAACTGCATAGTGAAACCCTGTCTCAAAAAGCCAATAAATAAACAAATAAAAATTTAACCTAGCTATATGTACACCCAATACTTGATATTTTGTGTGTATTTTAATCTACATAAGTGGTGTTATATGAGTCATACCATTCTGCATCTGGACTTCATCACCAGTTTTTAAGTTTTATCTCTTTTTTTTCATAGGAGGAATTGATCCTAGGGAGCTTGAACTACATTCTTACATCCCCTCCCCCCCCCCCCCCGCCTTTATTTTGTTTTGAAACAGAGTCTAAGTTGCCAAGAATGACCTCCATCTTGGGATCATCATGCCTCAGCCTCCTAAGTACCTGAGATTACAGGCATGTGCCACCATACTGGCCTAGTTCATTCTTTTTAATTGCTGCATAGTATTCCACTGTGTGATTATTCTACATCACATACTATATATCCATTCCTCTGGCAGGGACATTTAGGTTGTTTTCTTTCCCTTTTTTAAAAAATAAAAAACCAATAGGGTTTGATTAAATAAAAACGCTTTGCTAAGTGTCTTTTTGGGAGTACATGCCCATTTCTCCAGAAGACTGACCTAGAGCCAGCAGCCTGAGACCCAGCCCCTCGGTGGGCGTCCCCTGCGGAGGGCTTCAGCTGTCGCCCCAACACAGCCGGGCGCAGAGACGGCACCCAGCAGGTACACAGGGCCCCAGGCCAGGGCGTCACGGGAGCTCGCTGGTCCCACCCCTCAGCACATGGTGTCCCCTCGGAACCTCAGTTTCCACGCCGGTGAACGGGGTTAAGCAGCTACCAGGAGCGGATGGGGCTTCCGTGCTGGCGTAGCCAGGCCTTTGTGACCCCTCTCTCTGCCGTTCGCGCACGCCCTGCAGAGCGGCGGCAGTACCCAGGGTTAGCGTCCGCACTCGGATGAGCAGGACGATGTCCCTGACCTCACTTTGTCCCGCAGGCCTTGCGCCTTACTCTTGGGCGAGGATGATGGTTCGGGGACCTAAGTGTTTCCTGGGGACCCTGTCCTCCTTTTCGGTCGGAAAAGCAGTGTCCAGGAGCCTGGGTCTAAATCTGCTGAAATGTCTCCCTCTGGTGGCCCATATCGGGTACTGCAGGGCTCGGTCCGTCTCGGGAGATCAGTAGGGCAACTGCCCAGCCCTACTCAGAAACGCCGACGGCTCCCCATTGTCTGCGGGGCAAAGTCCAGCAGCCAAGCCGGAACCGAGCTCCTGCAGATCGGGCCCCACCTCAGGGACCTTATCGGGCTTGACCTCCTGCCCCACCGGCCCGCTCCTCCCCGCTGCAGGACCTCACAGCCCAGCCTTGCCCGTGACTGACGAGTGTCCCAGCCACCACCCCTCGTGTCCCCACCTTCCAGGCTGAACTCAAGGTCCACCTCTTCCGGGAAGCCCCCCAGTCCTGCACCCCTCACAGTGCTGCCGGTCATCTTCCTATTTCCGCGTGGAACGCAGGGTCCTCTCCTGAGTCCAGCACAATGGGTTAAAGGGAACCCAAGCCCAGGAGTTCTCAGATCTGGGGCCTCCCTGGCCTCTGCTGTTGCCCAAGAGCCCCTGCACTCCAACCCTGCTCTGCGAAGATCCGAGAAGGAAAGAATATCCAGATACACCTGGATTTCAGATGAACAGCTTTTTTTTTTTTTGTACAGGGTCTCATTGTGTAGCCCGGGCTAACTTTGAACTCTCGAGAATCCTCCTGCCTCAGCCTCCAGAATGCTGGGATTATAGATATGCACCAGCATGTCTGGCAAACAACTTCTTCTTCAAGCATGCTGCATATTACACGGTGGTTCGTATCGTGTCACAGGTAAACAGGGCGAAGGATCACTATCCACTTTAGACGTCTCAGTATTATAACTGGATAGTAGGTACCTGCCATCCTTCCTCTCCTCAGATTCTTTATTTGCAACCCACGCCCTCACAAAGAGCTGCTTGTGACCTCAGAACCAGGGCCTGACCGTTGTCCTTTGCATACACAGGCCAGGTTGGCCAAGAGTCCTGGTTGACCCGCGCACCGATCCCTCTTCTTGTCTCATTCCTAACATAAACAAGTGCGCCTTAGGGGCTCCCATCCGGGCACCCACACTGTGCTTTTGCTGGTGACTTAGCTGTTTTTTGAGGACCCCCCAAGCTGAGCCATGAGGGCTGCCCAGGCGCTGCGCCTCCCTGGAGGAAGGATGAGGGTTAAATAAGCTGCCCTCGGGCGACAGTCGCTGAATGTTGGCTGGGAGTTCTACGTTTATGAATCAACAATTGATATTATATAAGGCGTCTTTAAATAGAAACATGGAGAACAAGGCCCCACATTGATTGGGTGATAGAAATGCTGCGATCAGAGGCGCCCAGGAACCCAGCCTGCGTTTCCCCTGGGAGCAGCGGGGCCGTGTTTGCTAAACCTATGATTCAGCAACTCTAGGGCAGGACTGTCTCCGACAATGACAATCAACTACACGGCTCTGCCACACGCATGGATATGCCGCAGACACGTGTAATAAGCTAAGCTCCTGTCTACAGATACACATTGAAGAGCTACAGGGAATTTTCTATGACATTTGTTATATATGTTTTTGGAGGTTTACTTGGGCTTTGTTTGTAGACAGGGTCTCACTATTTAGTCTAGGCTGGTCTTGAATGCATTATGTAGCCCAGGCTGGCCTTTGCATTGTCAATCCTCCTGCCTCAGCCTCCCAAGTACTGGGATTACAGGCATGTGCCACCACCCCTGGGTCTTGGGATTGTTTAAAAAATACTCTAGTGTGGTTTGTGCCCATAGTCCCAGCTACTCCAGGAGGCTAAGGCAGGAGATCGCCCAAGTGCAAGAACCTGAGACCGGCCTGGGCAACACGGCGAGTCCCTGTCTCAAAATTGGACTCCAGGAGGGAAATATTACACCAGGAGAGTGTATGTGGACAGGGTGAAGAAACAAGATACCAAAGACCGAAGGTTGTGCGGTGGTGATTTACAATCTAAGACTACTCTCCCTGCTTTCCTGTATGTTTGCAAATGATCATAACCAAAGCTTTGTGATGCAGACACAGGAGAAATCTTGGGAAGAACTTTTGATTCGCCGTCATTTACTCCGGCCCCTCTGTGAGGACAGGGCCCAGAGGTGACCCCTTGGGATTCTATCTCAGCCCCATGCAGACCTGCTGTTTCCTCGCCCGGGATTGCGCTCAGTTAAATGAGGAACGGACAACCTCTGAGAGCCCTGCGCTGTTAAGACCACCCAGTTCCAAACCCAAATCAGGCTGAGCGTCTCTAACCCGAAACCCCCAAACGCCCCAAAGTCAGAACACTTCAGCACTGACTCGATGTCTCAGGGGGAAAAGTCCACGCTTGAGCTACTGTGACGGGTCAAGGCCAAAATACAGAAAATACTGTCAAATTTCCGGCTGTGCATATGGAGGTGTGTGCGAAAGAAATGCATTTCATGTAGACCAGGATGTCATTCCCAAAATACCTCATTCTGGATTTGCAAAGATTCCAAAATCCACAACACTTCCGGTCCCGTGCATTTCGGGTCAGGGACGCCCAGCCCGTACGGCGAGGTTGGCTCGCCAGGCACAGCACTGGCTGCCCCGTCCACTCACCACCGCGGCGGGTCGGGGGTGCTTTGTGTGGCCTCTTAGGGGCTCGAGTGCTGGGGTGAGGACCTCAGGGTGGTGGTGCCATATGGAGGTCGTCCGGCCAGCAGGGGGCGCTGCCCCGGGACAGGAACCCTGGGGTCGGGCTTGGGTTCTCAAGAAGAGTTGCAGACAAGTCCGACCTCTGAGCTGCTCCGGGCCTCTCAGCACGCCTCCCCCATGCAGTAAGGCCAAGCGATGAGGCTGCTTTGCCCTTGAATCTCCACACAGGGAGATACATAAGCCTCTTTACCACGTTTCCCCGCCCCGCGGATTTTGCTGGAGCACTGAAAACAGACTAAGGTTGAGTGTGGTGAACACACCAGTGATCCCAGCACTCAGGAGGCTGAGGCAGGAGGATCTTAAACTTGAGTCCTACCAGAGCAATTCAAAAAGACCCGTCTCAAAATAAAGTAAAAAAGGGGCTGGGGATGAGGCTCAGTGTGAAGGCCCTGGGTTCAATTCCGCAAGGGAAATGAGAGGGGGAAGAAGACCGGTAGCCGCTATTCTGTGAATCCTGGCAATGCCTTCTCCCTTCTTCCTGAAGCTCTTGGACTTTGCTTTGTCTGACACCTGCGCTTCCTGGCCCAGCAGTCAAGGCCCACGCGGGCTAAGCACTCCATGCACGCCACGTGGTGATCTTGTTCTCCCAAGAGCTCAGACCGGCTGAGAAAGAGCGGGAACCTGGGACACACAGGTTGGGCAAAGAACTGCAGAGTGCAGAGGCCGTCACACAAGCAGGCACCCTGGCACTGGCGAGCTGATGGACAACCAGGAATGACAGAGGCAGTAGGGAGAAGAACGCTTGGGCTGGAGGCATGGTGCATGCAAAGGCCCAGGGGCACAGAAGGCTGGAGGGGACCCCCCCCATCCAGAACATGGCCTGCTCATCTGTCACCTCGAGACCCCTCCCCTCCTGCTCCCTGGGACGGCATCTGTGGCCTCCCTGCCTGGGCTGCTCCGCACGTCCAGGAAGGGACTGCCACGCTTCCTGGTACTGGCAGAGTCCTGGCCACCCGCCTGTCGATGGAAGAGATGAGGCTCTGGGGTCCCCAGGTCCCTGAGCGAATCACACTGCCAGTGGCGGTGCTGCTGGGGGACCAGGACTGGCCGAGGCCCGCACCGGCTGTGGCAGTCTCGGCGGGGGCTCCCGTGCATGCTCCCCGCAGCGCTGGCCTGCACCGCAGATTCCTAGGCCCGGTCCCCGGGCACGTGCCTTCGGACGAAGGGCGGTGGCATCCCCAGGGGTGCCGGCTTCACCCACGTGACTGCAACACAGGACAGGCAGTTTCGCGTCCCAGCTGTAAAACGAGCCTTGTGCGGAGTGACAGAGAGCTGCCCCGCGCAGACGCCAGGAGGACGACCACCCCACCTACTACCTTGAAGGGGACCGGCCCGCACACCGAGCCCGCGCATGCGCACTCCGGGAGACCCGCCGGGCGGCCAGCGCCTCTGCGGCTGCGCATTAGGCTAGTTTTGCGGCCTCGCTACTTGACGGCAGCCGGTGTCCGCCCCCGAGCGGGGTTGCCGGGTAACGGCGAGCGCGTGGACTTGGGGCAGGTGAGCACTCCCGGGCGCGGAGAGGCCAGGCCGGGGCTGGCCAGGACTTGGGCCTGCGGGTCTCCAGACGACCCCCGGGGCGGGCGGGCGGGCGGAGAAGGGCGCGGCGCCTCCCGGGGCTGGGGCCGCGCAGCTGCCCGGGCTGGGGGAGGCGCTCCGGAAATACATTGCGCGCTTCGGAGTCAGGCGGCCCGCGTTTGGGACACAGAAAGTGACAGTCCCTGCAGGCACGTGCGCCCCGGCCGCCCACGTGGTGCCTGGGCTGGGTGTGATCCCGGCTGTGGTCGCCAGCATTGAGAGCCAGAGACCATCCCGCGCCCAGCCCCCTGCCTGCCCGCCCAGCCTTGTCACCCGAGCGCGCGTGGCACTCGGGGTCTGGAGCCCGTACCTGCCTGTGATGGGTAGCTGTCATTTCGTTCGCGTTCCCCTCTCCCATCATACCCTTCTGCTGTCAGCGCTGAGGAAGGAGCGCGTGAATGCCCACTGCAGATGCGGAGGGCTTCAGCTGCAGGCCTTCCTCTTCAGCTTTGCCTTCCAACTTCAGCAGGAAGTCAGTTCATCCCTCTGTCTCTGTCTCTCTTGAAACAGGGTCTCACTGTGTAGTCCAGGCTGGCTTTGAATTCACTATGTAGCCCCAGCTGGCCGGAGAGCTCACAGAGATCCTCCTGCCTCTGCCTCCTGAGTGCTGGGATTACAGGCATGCACACCACACAAGGCTCAGCATGAAAGACTTGTGAAGCGTTCCCTGTTGAGTTTTCCCCTCCCCCGAAAAGGGAACTGCTTTGTGAGACAATTCCTTCCGATCTTCAGAAGGCTGATGTTGGTATCCATGAAGCCATTTTTTTTTTTTTCAAATTTATTTATTTACAGTACTGGGGGTTGAACCCAGGGCCGTCACATTTTACTGCTGAGGAAACTCAAGCGCAGAGAGATTCCATAACCTTTGCCCAAAATGGCACAGGACGCGGCCAAGGCAGCCCCGTGTTGGTGCGCATGCTGTCGGAGCCAGCTGCTCTCAGTGGCCTGTGCAGGCAGTGCCCGCTGGACCCGTAGATGACCACGGCCCCTGTCAGTTATTCCTCACTGACTGCCTGGGAAGGCTGGGAGCCGGAGGCTGGAGGCGCACCTCAGCGGGGGAGCACTTGCCCTACATGCGCAGGGCCTCGGTTTTGATCCTGAGAGCCGATGGACCCTTTGTGGAATGCAGAGCGCTCATTAGACTTTGTTAACTTGGTTTCATCTTATGTCCTGTGAACCCAGGGAGCCCTGAGTGAAGGTCCTCAGGGAACGTGGTTGGCAAAGTGAGGCTAGCAACAAAATCCCAGCAGGCAGGGACCCGGGGGCACTTGCTCCCAAGAGACCTTGCTGTGTGCCTTGGGACTCTTCCCTTGGCCTCACTGTCCCCTTTCCGTGGAAATACTATGACCGCCTCCCCAGGGACTGTGGGGCCGAGGCTTTCTCAGCGCGGAGGTCAGCACAGCTGGTGCAGCGTGTCCTTGTGACTCTCTGGCTTCGGGGTAGCTGCTGTGTAAAGATTGTTCTCCCCACAGACCGCAGCCTTTCCAAGACTCCGTATCGATGACCAGGGCATTGCCGGATGTTTCTTTAAAGAGCGCTTGCCCTTGAGCGATGGCAGAAGCTGTGTTCCACGCCCCAAAGAGGAAAAGAAGAGTGCACGAGAGCTACGAGTCTCCCCTGCCGATCCCCCTCGGCCAGGACCCAGGTCCCCGGAAGGAGTTCAGAGCATTCCGGGCTGAGATGGTCAACAACCACGTGATCGTGAGGAGCCCGGCGGACATGGAGCAGCTGTACGGGAAAGTGAGTGTCGCGCCCCGACCCCCAGCCCTGCCCGCTTGGCCTAGCGCAGTTGGCATCGGGTGCCCGAAGCCGCGCGTTGTGGGAGCAGGGGCCTGACGTGGGAGCCCCGTACCCCAGCCCGCGCTGCGGTGATTATAAAAGCAGCACAAAGGTCCCGCTTACAGAAATGTGCTGTGGGACCGGGAGCGTCCCCCGGCCCCGGCCCATCCCTGCAGGTCCGCTCCTGCTCCTGCACCGGTCAGGTGAGGCTTCCGAGCGCGCACTCCTTGCCCGCTGTCCTGCCCGGGCACCCTAGAGGGGCCCGGGGCTGGTTTTCACTGCTCTGCAGCAGCGGTGGGCTGGGTTGGGATCGGTAGCTCGCTCCCTCCCCTCCCCAGAAGCTCGCTCATGGCGGGGGTGTTTCAAAGCCAGCTGGATTGAGGTGTGGTTCGCAGCCGTAAAACTCGTCCTCTCCGTGCACAATTCAGTGATGATCTTAAATTTAGAGCGGGTGCAACCACCGTGACAGTCTAGTTTTAATATTTTGGGTTTCCGTGGTGCTGGGGAGTAAACCAAGGGCCTGGCACTGTGACGCCAAGCTACGCCCCTGACCCCACTTTCCAGTGTTAGGACAGCCCCTTTGCCACAGGGAGTTCCTGCGCTGTTGCACGGGGTCTCCGCTTCCGCCCACAGCCTGGGGCACACAGGGAACAGCCTCCTGTCTCCTTCCCTACGGCCTGTCCAGAGACCGGAGGGGAGCGGGTAGCCCTGCCTCTGGTGGTGAGCACGGACCCTAGTCTCCCTGCAGCTCAGCGGTGAGGCCTTCCTCCGCAGCCCCTGATGTCCAGCAAGAGTCCGTGTAAGGCCACGCACTTCGTGTATTCTGACTGTTAGATCTACACAGAGAGTGAAGAGTTTTTATTTTATTATTATTCCAATTCCCTGAGGCTCAGACAGGAGGATCACAAGACTGAGCCCAGCCTGAGAAACTTAGGGAGACCCTGTCTCAAAGAATTGTAAAAGGGCTAGGGCCGGAGCTTAGTGTGAAGTTCCGTCCCCGGTGCCTCACAGAAAAGTGTGGGGGACGATGTGTCGCTTTTGGAATCAGCCCTGAGGGAGGAGCACTGCAATTCCGGGGTGCAGAGGGCGCGGGCAGCGTTGTCCCCCCGGTACACAGTGTTCCCCTGCCACAGGCGGCAACAGCCTCTGTCCCTCCCGCCCGTGGCGCCTCTGCGTGCCGGCCCCACACCGGAGTCAGTCAGCGAGGCCCATGGCAAAGCTCCTGCCCTCCCGGAGAGGCCGGAGTCACAGAATGCACGCATCGTCATGAATGATCGCGGCAGCCGTGAAAAGAGGAGTGAGCCGCTTGTGACCCCGACAGTTCCTTTCCGCTGCAGCTGGGAGACGCGTCTAACCAGCAGCTTACCGCTTCCTCTCTTCCCGGAAGGGTTATTTTGGAAAAGGCACTCTCTCAAGAAGCCGTCCAAACTTCTCCCTGTCGGACCCGAAGCTGGCTGCCCAGTGGAAAGGTGAGCGAACACACCACACCCGCCAGTCCTTTCTGGCACAGTTGCGCTCCGGGATCTCCTCGGTAAAGTTGCAAAGGAGTGACAGGCACGTCGGCAGTTTCCATTTCCGGCACCTGAAAAATAGGGAAAAGGAAAAAAATAAAAGAACCAGTTCCATCTGGTTACAAAATAATTAGGAAAGATTGTTTGTTCTTTTTTTCTTTTTTTTTTTTTTTTGTCTTTTTGAGGCAGGGTCTCGCTGTGCAGTTGAGGCTGGCCTTGAGCTCACTTTGTAGCCCTGGCTGATCTCGAACTTGCACTAATCTTCCTGCCTCAGCCTCCAGAGTGCTGGGATTACAGGTGTGCACCACCATGCCGGGCTCTTAGGAAAGATTTTTTTAAAACATTCTATTGTAAGAAAATATTGTTGAAATGAGATCCGAGTTAACAGGAAAGTGGAAAAGTCTAACAGGGTCCCATGGTGGAGCCCAGGGACACACAGTTCCCCTCCAGAAGGGAATCCAGCAATGTCCACAAAAACTGTGTGTCATTCCCTGCTTCCTTTTCCCCTGTTCCTCGCCCCCTCAGCCCCTGGTAACCTTTCTTTGAATGTCCCTCTTTTCGATATTTTATGTATAAGAGGACGCCTACGATATTTGTCCTTTTGTGTCTGGCTTCTTTTGCTTAGCACAATGATTTTAAGGTTTGTCTGTGCCATTGCACATACCAGAACTTCATTGCTTTTCATGACTGAGTAATATTCCACTGCATGGTTAGACTACCTTTTGTTTATCCGTGTACCTGCTAATGGACACTTAGGTTGTTTTTGTTTTTGTTTTTTTAAAGAGAGCAGTAAAAAAAGAACAGTAGCAACATACCAACATCACAGACATAAACAAAACAAAGCAAGAACATTAAAAGTGATACAGGGTTTCAAAACAAAATGATAGGAGTTAACAGTGGTTGTTGTATTACATATTGTTATCTTCAGCTACGTTGCTCAGATTACCAGATGTAAGAATGGATGATTGTTCAAACCATTAAAGAGAATTAAAAATTAATTATTAGATAAAACATTAGAGATAATGCGGAGTTTCACTAGACAAGATGGTAGGAATTCACCCATGGTTGTTCCATTGCGTATTGTTGTCTTCAGATCAGCTGTGGAATTACTAAGACGTCGTTGTTCTTTCTATGTGCGTGTGATGGTGCTGGTACTGAGGAGTGAACCGAGAACTCTTGCGTGCTAGGCAAGCACTCCACCAAACTTTCAACTTTCTGTTTTGTTTTGTTTTTGAGCCAGGCAGGCCTCAAACTCACAGTCTGCTTCCTCGGCCTCCCGGGTGCTGGGATCACAGCCGCGTGTGTGCCCCACTGTGCCTCATGTATGGCTGTTTAACTTCTTAGAGAACAACTTGTTCATCACAGTATCTGCACCTCTTTACCTTCCCATCAGCAGTGCACAAGGTTCTGCTTTCTCTACATCCTTGCCAAGCTTTGCTTGTTTGCTTTCTCAATACTCCCCATCCCAGGCTGGGATGGAGCTCAGTGCAGAGCATTTGCCTAGCAAGTGTGAGCCCTGGGTCTGATTCTGTGCGGCCCCTCACCCCCCAAAACAAGTCCTCTCGGGGGTCATAAGTGGTAAGCTTTTGTTGTGGTTCTTGCATTGGTTTTACCGAGATGGGGTCTTGCTCAGTTGCTCAGGCTGGCCTCAAACTCGCCACCTTCCTGCTTCAGCCTCAGCGTTCTGAGTAGCTGGGATAACAGGCATGCACCACTGCACCCAGCTAAGATTTTTAATTTTAATGAAGTCCAGTTTATCTGTTTCATCTTTTGTTGCTGTGTTTTTGGTTCCATTTTTAAGAAACCATTGCCAAACCTGTTTCCCCTGAGTGTTACAGGTTCGGTACCTCACGTTCGGTCGTCGTTGCATGTGAGTGGTTTTTGCAGTGGTGAAGGCCCAGCTTCCTCGGGCCTGTGGGTATGTAGTCGCCCTGTCATACGTACGCTTTGTTTTTAACTAGCGCCCCAACTTCCTGGAGTGCATCTTAAAGATGCGCTGGAAATGACAGGGAGTGGCGGAAGGACACTCACCGCGGCACTCTTCGTGCCGCTCAGAGGCTGGGAGCCACCCGAGGCCCAGCGCCGCGGTGGGGCACGGGCAGGAAGGTGAAGGTTCAGTGAGCTGTGGTCTATCTAGAAAGAAGGGAGTATAAATATGTGCTTAATTCTGTTTTTGAAAATTAAAGAATTTGCCTCACGCAGTGGCACGTATGTTTAATCCCAGCAAGAGAATTGCAAGTTCAAGGCCAGCTGGGCAACTTAGCCAGGACCTAGGTCAGCACCCAGTACCACTGCCAAAAAATGATTTAAAGAGATAAGTGTGTATAACCTGGTTTACACAGTGTCTGCAGGTATGGGAACATCACGTCGTTCCATTACTATTTGCTTTCGTGTATCAGATTAAAAATAAATGTAACTAGAAATAAAAATGGAAGGAGAAACCAGAATGCTTTTCAGTACTGAAGGTTGAACCCAGAGTGCCTTTGTCCTGAGCTACATCCCCAGCCCCACTCGCTTCTTTGTCTTTATATTTTTGAGACAGGGGCTCACTGAGTTGCCCGGGTTGGGCTGGAACTTTCCATCCTAGAGTGCTGGGGTTGTGGGTGTTCAGCACCGCGCCCAGCTATGACTGAGGGAAAGAACGAAATAGGATGGGAGGAGGTGAGAACATACAGATTTGACTCCGGAACCTTGTCAGTGCACAACATAGTAATTACAAAATAAAGTTCAATTTTAAAAAAGTAGGTTTTTTTTTTTTTTTTAATAAAAATGAGACCCACAAGCTTGTCAGGTTGGGTTGCATAATCTCATAGGAAAAAATTGTTTTTGAGTAACTAAAACAGATATTTCCTCAGTCTTGGGGAGATAGACTTTTTGTCCATTTTCTCTGACAGAAAAATGCTGCTTAATAAACCACCCCAGAGTCCATCAGCTGTGAGCAGTAGTGTAGTAGTGCATGCCTGTAATCCCAGCACTTGGGAGGCAGAGGCAGGAGGATCTCCATGCACTCAAGGCCAGCCTGAACTACATAGTAAGACCCTCTCTCAAAACAAACCAAAATAAAACAACAGCAGATCAAGCAAGCACAGACTGTCCTGCCCATAGATCCACTGACCTTGGCAGCTGTGTCCTCTCCTAGGCTTAGAACGCTGAGCATCGTGTAGGCCTGGCCTCTCCTGCCTTGGAAGGAAGCTGCTCAAGGGCAAGGGACCAGGGCTAAGACCTGACCCTCCAGCGACCCAGAAGCACTTCCGGGGGAGAGGTGTGGCCCACCCAGTGTCCGGAGCTGTGCCAGAGCCAGAAGCCCAGATCCACATCCAGAGTCGTGTCCCCTCTGGGGACACGGGAGGCTGGGGGTCTTGGGGTCCTGTGCTGGTGCCACTGCTGTCCCTGCCGAGCTGGGGTGATGACCGGTTCTGGGCTCACCTCCTGCCATCGCTGACCAGTCAGCGTTCACCTTCCAGGCTGCGACCTTGGGACCTGAGTTCTCTCCCCTTCCTCCATTTTTAGTGGGTGTTTTCCCCTCTTAAGGGAAACATGTCTGGAACTAACAGAGCTCCTTTGCCGTTGCAGATGTGGAGACCAGCATGCCCATCGTCACGGCAGAGAGGTAAGCGGCCGCGAACGTGGCGCTTGGGATGGTGTGGGCGGCCTTTCCTGTGCACAGCCGCCTTCTCTGTCCTGCTGGCATTAGAAGCATCGTTGAAAATGCGGAGTTGACTGTGGATCAAATTCTGTTTGGATGCATTGAGGTTTTGCTTAAATCGCCCTAAGCTGAACCCTTTGCCAGCCGAGCTCCTTCGGACATAGGCGTCAGTGTGGAGTAGCGGGCACCCTTCGCTGCTCTGTGGGATCAGAGAGGGTTTTCCAGACGTGGTCCCGAGCGTGCCCACCCGCCTCTGTCCCTGGCTCTAGCCTCGTGCTCCCTGTCCCTCGCACGCCTGGTACAGGTGACCATCCTGGGGCGCAGGGACCGGGTCCTCCTCTCTGCAGCCCCACATATGGTCCCCACGTGGGGCTCCATTCGTGGCCCCTGTGTGGTGTTCGTCCAGCCAAATTTCGCAGCCGGGTGACCATGGGCAGCGAGGGACACGGAGGGAGCTGGCTGCTGTGGCCACAGCCCAGCCTGGGGACCGGAGCGGACTGTGGTCTGGGAGATGCGGCCCTGGGGCCCTGAGTGTGAGCCCCTCATACCCTCCCCTTTTTGTTTCTTTCTTCTTTGGGGGACGGTCGGGGTGATGCTGGGGTCAGAACCCAAGATCAGCGCTCTACCTCTGAGCCACGCGCAGCCCAAACGCTCAGTGCCTCAGTGCGGTGGTTCTTGCGTGTTTTTTAAGTCAGGGAAATGGACGAGGGCATGTAGAGGCGCCTGGGGGTGAGTGCGCGTTTGGTGCACACCCGGCCCCGGGCTCCACCCCCAGCAGCCCCCTAAACGGAACAGAAACAAGAAGAGACGTGTTGAAAGCCGTGGGCCCTTTCCCACAAGAAAGAACCATACTGATGAAAGCCTCGGGCTCGTGTAACAGGTTCGTAGACCCAGCAAGCCCGGAGCCGAGGCTGCAGCTCCCACAGGTTCTCCTTGGGTCTCCCCGGGGGCGTTTCCCATCACTGCGCACGCGCAGCCGGGCACAGCCAGGAGCCGCCCGCTTTCCCCCAGGACGCGGAGGGGTCCATGCCAGGTTCCTGTGGGGTAGGAGTAGGAGGAGTGAACTGGCTCTTGGATGAGGCAACTGAAACAGAGAAGTTAAGTCACTTGCTTGTCACGCAGTTGTAGCTGACCGAGTCAGGGCTGGACCCGGAGCGTGTGTGATCCCAGAGTCACTGCAGCTCAGCTACTGGAGTGGCCTTGTAGGGTTAAGCCTTCCGCACGTTGTGGAGAGGGTCCTGGGGACGGAACCTGGGGTCTCGCGCGGGCACACATGCTCCACTACTGAGCTGCGCCCCTATCCCTTTTTTGTTTTTTATTTTGAGACTATCTCACTAAGCTACCCAGGCTGGGCTCAAACGTAGGATCCTCCTGCCTCAACCTCCTGAGCAGCTGAGGTTACAGACAGGCACCCCCGTTCCCATCTAGGTTTCGGTCTTTAAGATTCCAGCCAGGCCTGATGGCACATGCTATAGTCCCAGCAATCTGGGAGGCTGAGGCAGGAGGGTTACAGGTTTAACCCAAGCCTGATCAACGTAGTGAGACCCTGTCTCGAAGAATTAAAATAGTTAAAAATTCCGGAGTTGTTGCTCCGTGTGAAAGCCTTGGTTCAAACCCCAGTACCAGGAAAAAAAAAAAAAGAATCTAAGGTTTAGTTCCCGTGTATGCGCCGCGTGGGGATGCTGACGGATGCAGGGAGGGGCCGCGGTGTCCTAAGTGTCCACAGTCGGTTTCCCCGGGTCCTGTGCCCTGTGCACATCACCCTAGTCACCTGCGCACAGGCGTGGAGGGCGAGGAGTTGGGGGCGCCTGCCTCGTGAGCAGGCCACATTGCAGGCGTCGCGGGTGCTCTGCCGCGGCAGCGTCGACAGCCACCTGCGGGTCCCCGATGCCCGAGCGCCACAGCCTCGGGCCAGTGACCCAGCGGAGCCCTGGACTCCTGTCCCTTTTTTAGTAAGCAGGAAGTTCTCCGTCTGTTGGAGATCACCGGATGGTAGCAGCAGGAGCAGGCGGAAGGGTGAAGGGAGAAAGGGCCATTTTTATAACTTGGGAAGTGTTCGCGTGTTGCCTTCAGGTTTGAAACCCTTCCTGTGTGTTTTCTCATTAAAGTACACTCTGAAAGTTATTCTGGGGAAAAGGGCCGTTCTTTCTGTATCCAGTGAAGGGGTTATTAGGTGCTGTGAGAAATCTTTGTCAGAATTCTCATTTTGCTCTGCGTTGCTAAACAAAGGGCCTTTGTGTTATGGCGTAAGCATCGGAAAACATTTTGGTCTTGAAAAAAACCAGAATGAACCCTGATAAAGATGGCTACTTTCTCCATATACTTACCTGCCTCTGTTTTTTGAATGACATGAATTTTGCCCAGTGTGATGGTGCACACCTGTAATCCCAGCACTCTGGAAGACTGAGGCAGAATTGCAGGTTCAAGCCCAACCTGGGCAACTTAGCAACTGAGCGAGACCTTGTCTCAAAATAAAAAAGGGCCGGGGGTGGAGTTCAGTGTGAAGGGCCTGGGTTCAAGCCCCAGTACCATAAAAAACAAAAACTTCCCTGTAACCTGCCCGTCGGTCTGACTGCTGTAAGCGCCTTCTCGGCCCCGCCAGCCTCTGTGTGCTCTGCCTGCTGTCTTCGGTTCTGGGGCTGACGGTGTTTCTGTCTGCAGGTATCAGCGTCATCTGGCCTGGGCCACGGAGCTCCTGCGCAGACAGGGCCAGGACGAGAGCACCGTGCGCAGGGTCCTTGAGGAGTACACAAGGCCACTCAAGCGTCCCGGAGAGAGCAGCGCAGAGGGGCGACTGCGGGCTGGGCCCGTGGCGGGGACAGGGACAGAGGGACTTCCTGGCATGGATGGAGCCTCTGGAACCGCAGAGGAGGCGGGAGAGGCCGGCCTGGGCTCTGGGCCTGGCCCACTGGTTGCAGCCAGCTTTGGGGAGCACACGGGAGAGGACCCTGCGTCTGCTCCCCAGGTCCCTGGCTGTGCACAGGACACGCTCAGCCCGCAGAGTTGCCTTGAGCCTGCGGCCAGTGGCCCACTAGCCGGCATCCTGTGTACCGGAGAGAGGGAGCCCGGCCCCGAGTTCGTGCTCGTGGAGGAGGAGACGAGCAGCAGGAGCGAGGGGGAGGACACCCCGGAGGAGGAGGTGAGGAGAGGAAGGGTCTGTGCCCCATCACTGCTGTGTTTCCATGGCTTCAGTACCCCGGGCCCAGACCCAGGACCTTGTGCTTGCCAGGCAGGTGCTTGTGCTGCTGAGCTGTATCCCCGGCCCTGTCCTGACTGCTTAAAAGAGAACACCCTCTTTTAAAAAAGAGTTTCACTTTTATCATAATATATTGTTATAATTTTCTGTTTTATTACTTTTAGTTATTGTTGATCTCTTATTGAGCCTAATCTATGTGTTAAACCTGAAATGTGATTGACAAACACAGGGAATGTTTAAATTTTTAAAAAATTTATCACTATAAAAGACACATTATAAACCAGACACACATGTGTAAACATCATATTGTCTCCCTAGTGTGAGACACTGAAAGAGTAAGTAAGATCCAAAATGTATGATAAATATTGTGAAATGGGAAGAAACTGTTCTGAAGGAAGGAGAAACTGGGATAGGGGAAAAGAGGAAAGAAGGGAGAGAAAATATATATATATATATATATATATATATATATATATATATACACACACACACACATATATACACACACAAGGTAATTAAGAGTTTACTACTAATTTTTCTTAGCTCATTGAAAAGAAAGGTTTGTGCTAATATTATTTGGACAATTAAATGCCTATATCTTGTACTTTGAGTAACTGAAGATAATGGTATGCAGTGTATTAGCCATTGTTTCTGTCCTGTTGTTCTTTTTTTTTTTTTTCGGTTTTTGGTTTTTTTTTCCGGTACCGGGAATCGAACTCACAACCTCATGCTTGCCAGGCCGGCGCTGTGCCGCTGAGCTAAATCCCCAGCCCCTTGTTTCCGTCCTGTTGTTTTGAAATTCTGTTTTACTTTTCTCTTTAAAATAAAATTTTAAAAAAAGATAACATTGTGCTGGGTGTGGCGGTGCACACCTGTAGTCCCAGCATGTGGGAGGCTGAAGCAGGAGGATCACTGTGAGTTCAGGGACAGCCTGGGCTACAGAGTGAACTCAGGGCCAGCCTGAACTACACAATGAGACCTGTCTCAAAAAAAAAAATTTTAAGAAAAGACACATGGCCACTAACCCCCTCCAAATGTTGCTTTGAGCACACTGACCCTGTCACTCGTACCACTCTCTGAGGCAGTTCCGAAAGGCCTTCTCCATGAATGTCTTTAGTTGTACTGTTGTGGCTGCTTCAGTGTCTTCAGATGATTGAAAACATGTCCCTTTCATGATCGCTTTAGCTTTGGGGAAGGGCCGGAAGTCCATGGCGCCCGATGTGGTGAATAAGGCAGATGAGGACACAGCGAAGAGTTTTTGTGAGGCCGCCTTCCCACTGGGTGGCCCTCGGCAGCAGCACCCACCGTACTTTCGCAGACACGAAAAGGGACTTCCCGAGCTGCCGCAGAGTGGCAGGAACAGCAGGCGAAGTGTGTCCGAAGCAAGGGGGAGTGTTTTGAGCAGAATTAGTGGCGAAGAGTCTTTTATCATGATAAATTTCTAAAAGGCACCCGTTCATCGTATGTTTCCACCACACCCGTATATCGTAGGCGTGCTGGGTGGGGAATGCGTGGTGTCCCGGGGACATCTCTGCATCCCTGCCTGCAGAGCCCTCTGTCCCTGGCCTGTAGGTGGTGTTAGGGAACCCAGTGCCCTTTCCACAACTGGTCCGGTGAGACTCCCAGGAACAGGTGGGCTTGAGGCCCAGCCCAGGCACACAGCAGTGCGGGCACCCTTTCCTCTACAGCCGGGGAGAGGGTCTAACATTAACGTTCTCAGACTCGTACACTAAAGCGAGACAGGTGACTGCAGAATGGCAGTGGTGTTACGTATGACGCTGAGCGTAGAGCGAGAAGAAAGGACACTTACGAAGTCCTGTGAGGAGCAGACACGTGCTTAGGGGTAGAAACACAGATTCTCCCCCAGCGTGCAGCTGCAGGCAAGATGCATGGGGGAAAGGAAGTAAAATGTTAACAGTGGGGAAAAAATTAAAACTTCTTCCTCCACAGAAGTTATAAAAAATGAGTTTTCTGTAGTGTTTATCCAATAGCAAGTGAACCTTGGGAGTTTACAAGAAAGTGGCTTTGGGTTTTTGTTTGTTTGAGGTTTTTTTTTTTTTGGAGGTGTTTGTTTTTGAGACAGGGCCTCACTTTGTAGTTCAGGCAGGCCTTCAACTTGTGGCGATCCTCCTGCCTCAGCCTCCCAAGTGCTGGGATTGCAGCCGTGAGCCACCATGCCCAGGAAGAAAGTGTTCATTTTCAGATGCAGTCTCTTCCATGTGGCTTGTAGTGCATCTGTGTATTCTATTGTGTTTGATTTTATTTTTCTCTCTTCAGTTGGTGCAAAGAAAGAGGTTAATATGCAGAAGAAACCCCTACCGGATCTTCGAGTATCTGCAGCTCAGCCTGGAAGAGGTGCGTTTCCATTTAAGGATTCATTTCCATCATGTTATTTCAGCTCCACAAGGTGCAGCGCAGCCTCCTGTGTACACGAAGCTACCGTACCAGGCATCCCTGTGTGGTGGGGTCGCTGGATGTTGTAGTTAAGCATGGAAAGCCCCACAGGCGGTGTCCACAGAAGCTGCCGAATTCCACTCCTCCACATTCCCCCGCAGTCCTCAGCTCTGTGTTGGGGCTGGGGTGCTCAGGGGTGAGCGCTTGCCCCACCCACGAGAGCCCCTCGTTCCACACCCGGCTTTAAAAGAAGGCCTGTGTCCTTGGCCGTGGTGCCGGGTCCTTGCACAGAGCATTAGAGGGACTCGTCTTAGCACTTCCTTCCTCGCTGTTTTCAGATCGGCTGAACAGGATCTCACTCATTTTCACCCACTTGTGGAAACCAGACAGCTCTGTGGAGATGCTGTTCACACACCGTGAGTTCTCCACCCAAAGTACACGAGCGGAGGCTGGTGACACAGCTCGGTGGTGCAGCTCTTGTCTGATATGCGCAAGGCCTGGGTTCCACCCCTGGTGCTGCAGAAAAATAAAGTGTACAGCCCACCAGGCATAGTGCCACATACCTGTAACCCAGGCAACTCAGCTGAGGCAGGAGGATCTCAAGTTTGAGACCAGCCTGGTCAACTTACTGAGACCCTGTCCTCTAAAGTGACAAGTAAAAAATGGGGCCTCAGTGTTTTTAGTCTCCTGCTGGAGTTTGACGAGCTCGGGTGGGTCTCATTGCTCACCAGGCGAGCCGGTCTGTGTGTCTCCCTGTCCCGCGACTTAGATGGCGCATTTCTTTCCGCAGTGTGGTGGCTGCGCCTCAGCCGAGCCCCCTTCCCTAAGAGGCGTGGTGTGAGTACCGCTGCTCAGACCTGCAGGGCTCCCGCCATGGGCACGCTGTGCTCAGCCGCATCTTTCTGGCCTAAGTCTGTGCCGCAGCCAGGAGGTGCCTTCTGCCTTTGAAGCTGTGTCCTCCTGGGCCCCTCTCAAGGCCTGAGCACCCACAGGTCCCAGGAGGGGCTGGCAGGCTGCATGCACAGGCAGTGTCGTGTCTCCGTGCCCCATCTCCCGGCCCGCGCTCCCTTGCAGAGAGCCCAGCGACACTGCACAGACTTAGCGTGGGAAGGCGTGTTTGGCTGTGTGTACTGCGTCACTGCATCTCACGCAGGGCTGTTTACCAGGAAACCTGGCAGCCGCTACCCCTGGTGGGCTGTTCCAGTTCAAAGTAAAGTGGAATGCAGTTCAGAATCCTGTTTCCCGGTTGCACCAGCCGCGTTACAAGTCCTGAGTAGCCACACACGGCCCAGTGGTTGCCCAGAGGGACGACGGTACACACGTGGAGTCCGCCACTTCCTGAGCACACAGCAGGGTGACCTGAGGGTCCCAGACTCTTCTCCCTGCAGATCGGAGCCATAGGACACCTGGGCAAGGGACAGCACTGTGCAAAAAAGGGCCTTCCTGCCGTGCACCTGGCGGCTGTAGCCAAAGTCCGAAAGCAGAACCTGTGTCCTTGATTGTGCATTCAGTCTCATGTCCTATAAAATACTTCTTAGGTTGAAAGAGAAATATCAGGACTGGGGGGCAGCTCAGCAGTAGCACATGGTCTTCCCATGCGTGAGGCCCTGGCTCCGTTCCCCAGCACCAGATCCAAATAGAATTAAATAAAAAGCGACTGCTCTCACTAGGGGCTCCCAGTCAGTCGCTGTCTCCTGCACTGCAGTCTGTGGAGCCTGTGACCTGGACAGGTCAGGCCACCACCGAGTGGCTTTGGATAGTACGAGTCTGACACCTTTCTAATGTTGATCAGAAAGCTCTTCTTAGCTGCACGTAAGAGCAACTTTATTCACCTACCGCCAACTTTCCGGTGTGTTGCGTGGTAGAGTCCCTAGCAACAGTTTCCATGGCAACCAGGCCACATGACTGATTTGATGGTGACTTAAGGACATTCATTTGTATCCGACAGGAAGAGAGTGGGGTCTGCACAGTGATCTCTTGCGCGTGCTGCCAATTTCTGATGGACATTTTCTCCCTGCTCCTTTTCAGGCCTTCTTCCTGGTCTATGCGTTGGGGTGTCTGAGTGTCTACTACAAGAAGGTAAGGTGTTTATGCAGGTGCAGCCCCCCTGCAGTTTCCCTGATGTTAAAAACAGGTTTTCTATTTTCCATATTGTTTTTGTTTTGTATTGTACTTTGAGACAAAGTCTCACATATAGCTCAGGCTGACCTTGAACTCACTGTGTAGCCTAGGGTGATCTTGAACTCATGGCAGTCCTCCTGCCTCAGTCTGCTGAGTACAGGGATTTCAGCCAGCATGCCTAGCTATTCCATATTGCTTTAATACCTATGCGTTTGCTTCCACTGAGTAAAATAGGAGGTGAAGTTTTTTCTTTTAAGTTTTGACTTCAGGTTCTGAACTGGGTCTATTCAGGCAAAAGCCAGCTTTAACGTTTTTTTAGACTGGGTTTCACTTTCGTAAACCGCGAAAAGTGCAGCATCTTATATACAGACCAGGAACTCTGTGTCCAAGCAGCACTGAATTAACAGAGGTAGGCATGGTGGCACATACTATAATTCCAGCTCCTCAGGAGGCTGAGACAGGAGGATCCCAAATTCAGCAGTCCTTGCACAACTAACAAGACTTGTCTCAAAAAATAAAAAGGGCTGGAGTGTAGCTCAGTGGCACAGCATTTGTCTAGCATGTGGGAGGCCCTGAGTTCATCCCCAGCACTGCAAAAAAATAAAAGTTACAGGTGTTTACCAGGCTGTGTCAATCACCTTTCATGCGCTGTTTCATAGCCTGCCTCCACGTGGTAGGAATTTTACCACCAAGGTAACTAAGGCCCAGAGAAGATGAGTTATCCAAGGACACACACCACTTGGCAGAATCTCCTGCGTCTGGTGTGCTCTCATGCTGTGGCTACCACGTGCAGAAGACAGACAGCCACACAGACGGCACCAGTGGCTGGGGACAGGGCAGAGAGGAGGCTACACTGAGCACTCACCGTGCTTTTAGAATTTCAAACCGTGTAACTATAATACCCGTTCAGAATAAGCAGGTAAAGTAGGTAAGCAGAACACTTAATAGGATGGGGAAGTATTTTGTCTGGGTCTTATATGTGCATAATTTTATCATCTCTCTAGTTCTGGTTTTTCTCTGTCTTTCTGTCTGGCTCCCTGTCTGTCTCTGTCTCTGTCTCTGTCTGTCTGTCTGTCTGTCTCCTGGGGCCTTCCACATGCTACACAAGTATTCTACCACTGAGCTATGTCCCTAGCACTTTGTATTTTATTTTGAGGCAGGGTCTCACTGTGTAGTCCCTAATTGCCTTGAACTTGCAATCCTCCTGCCTCAGCCTCCTACAAAGCTAAGAGTACATGTGGGCTACCTTCTCAGCCTACATTTCACCTCATGTTTTATTTGCATGAGTATCCATGGTTTGGAAGGACGTGTTTGGCATGATTGACTTGTTTTTCTCTATGGTGGTCGCTTCTAGCTCCACAACCCCCTCTTATGGGCTGCAGCTGGGATCTGCCAGCTGCTGTAGCTAAGCAGAGTCCTCAACATCTGGGGGCACTGGGCTCTCCAGGCGGGGATCCAGCCTCCTCCTTGTTAGAGGAGACAAAGCCCACAAAGCTCCTTAATAGAAGGAGCACAAAAAAAAAGGACAGGAAACATGTCAAGAAGCGTGGACTCATTTCTGGTGGGTTTCATTGCTCTGGTGCTGGGGCTGGAGACCAGCCGTGCGCATGCACTGAGCACTGCTCTGCCTCTGAACTGCCCCCACGGGGTTAAAACCAGACCAGACACTTCGCAAGGAGCCCCGGAGCCAGACCCCGGCTGAAGTCAGCTCTTCAAGTGCTGAGTGGGAAGAAAGCCCGCCTCGCCTAGCCTGTATCCTATTGGGTCCTGTGTTCCTCGGACTGGGCTCTGCCATCCTGTTCCATCACCTCTGTGCAGTCAGGTTACTACATGTGCCAGCAGGCAGCAGTTCTCGGACGCCAAAGAATGAAATGGAGCACCTTTGGGTTTTTAATGAAAGTTTTACTTATACGATGATTGGTTGACTTTTTTCTTTGCAGTACTGGGCCTTGAACCCAAGGCCTCATGCAAGCTCTACCCCCTGCCCTTTATTGGACTTTATTTTTTTCAATTTTGAGACAGGATCCCCTTAAGTGGCCTAAGCTGACCTCAATTTGCAGTCCTCCTGCCTCAGCTTCCTCAGACCTGAGGTTAGCAGCATACAACACCATGCACACCTACTTCTTCCTTTTCTAAATGTGGCCTGGCATTTCAGCTGCGCACTAAAGGGCCTGGGGAGTGTTTCTTTCTCCTTTCTCTCTCGCACCCTCCCTTCCTCCATACCTCCCTTCCTTCCTTCTCTCTAAGTACTAGGATTGAACCCAGGGCCCTTACAGAATTACACTGCCAGTCCTTTAAAAATTTTTTTAAATTTTGAGACAGGGTCTCTAAAGAGACTGCTCTCAGCTTTGGCAGTCACACTTGCGCTCGCTGCCCAAGCTGCTTTCCTGGCGTCCGTCCCAGCCCCTCCCCAGCTCCTGCTCATGTGAGATGTTGCCTTTCTTCCCTTTCTCCTCCGGTGCTGGGGTGGAACCCAGAGCCCAGGCAGGCTAAGCATGTCATCTACCACTGAGCCGCACCCTGGCCTCACAATCTGTCTTTCTGCATCCCCAGAGCCCCGGTGTCCTTCGGGAATGGAGTAAATGCCTTAGGTGGGGGCCGGCGAATCATTCTCTGTTTTCTTGGTAACCACATTAAATTTCAAAAGAAAAACACAGATGAGCCTGGTATAGTGTACACAGCTATAATTCCAGCACGAGCAGGCTGAGGCAGGAAGATCACCACAAGACCAAGATCTACCTGGATTATATATAGTGAGACTCTGCCTCAAAAAAGAAAAAGGAAAAAAGCTACTTGATTCATGTTTAAAAGCAAGTAAAATTACTTTCAGTAACCATATTTCATGGTTCATTTAACCGAGCATATCCATAGTTTGCACTTGGCCCCTTTCTCTCCTGCCCAGTTGGACTCCTGTGTGTTTCACACTTGCAGCGCCCCTGTTGGATGGGCCAGGTGAGGGTAGTGGCTGCCACGTTGGACATCCCGGTCCGGGTGCCCAGGAGCGCCCTGCATTTGTCCCCCCCGCCATTGCTGCTGCTGAGCCTGCACACCAAACAGATGTTAGTCCCTGGCAAGGGGGAATGGATCGTGCATGAACAGTGCCTCTTCCTTTTAAATAACCTTAGGAGCCCCTGACGATCGTAAAGCTCTGGCAAGCGTTCACAGCAATTCAGCCCACATTCAGGACGACCTACGGGGCCTACCACTACTTCCGGAGCAAGGGCTGGGTGCCCAAGACGGGGCTCAAGTATGGGACAGACCTGCGTGAGTAGCCCTCTGTGGGATGGGTGCAGGGCCACACAGGACGCCAGGGAGAGCAGTGGGTATGCCGGTGCTGATTTTCCCTGGCTTAGATAAGGATCTTGGGCAGTTGAGCGCTCTGGGAGGCTGAGGCAGGAGGATTGAAAGTTTGAGCCTAGCCTAAGCAACTTACAGACCCTGTCTCAAAATTTTAAAAAATCTTTAAAGGACTGGCAGTGTAATTTTGTAAGGGCCCTGGGTTCAATCCTAGTACTTAAAGACAGAAGGAAGGAAGGGAGGGATGGAGGGAGGGAGGATACAAGGGAGAAAGGAGAAAGAAGAAAAAGAGAAAAAAGAAAGGAAGGAAGGAAGGGGAAGGAAGGAAGGGGAAGGAAGGAAGGAAGGAAGGAAGGAAGGAAGGAAGGAAGGAAGGGAGGAAAGGAGGGAAAAGAAAAGAGAGAAGGGTGTTTGGAGTAAGGGGGTGAGTCCAAACTCGTGCAGTTGGGGCGCCTAGGGGAGAAGCTGCGGCCCCCGCCCAGGCTTTTACCCTTGTTGCTCCGTGACCGTACAAGGGTGACGGTGGACCTTTCAGAGCTTTCAGTGCCACACAGAGCCTGCTGCGGCGTGCGTGCCGTAGGTTCCCCACCGCTGCCCTAGGAAGAGCCCCTGGCACCCCTGCTCCTGGCAGGCCTGAGCCCTGCGATTGCAGTCAGTCCCACGCTGTGGGCCTCAACTGTTTCATCCGCCAGGCAAGAGCAACGGTGCGGTGACCCCTGGTCACAGCTGTCGCTATGTGTGGCGCTGCCCTCACTATGTGTGGCGCCATCTTGCTACACAGTCCTGATCTCAGTCCTCGCAGCGGTGGGGTGCGGTGCTGTGTGCCGGGTACTGTGCTCCCCACGCTTCTGACGGAAGGGTCGCCAGCCCAGGGTTGTTCCCAGGTGCTGTAGGAAGCCAGACCCTGGGTTGGGGCTCATGCCCGCAGGGAGCCAGACAAGAAACAAATACAGAAGGGACCTTGAGGGACTGCACAGCCTAAGACAGGTAAAGGAGAGCCGGGCACCTTGGTGCACGCCTGTAATCCTGGCACTTGGAGGCTGAGGCAGGAAGTTATTAAGATTCGAGTCTGGCTAGTCTGGGCTACACAGCAAGACCCTGTCTCAAAAAAGTTGTCATAAAACAGGAGAACGTCGGGTGAGGAAGTGTGAGTACAGGCAGCGGGCCGAGGCCGCGCCCCTGGCGCTTCACGTTTGCACTTAGCGCCCAGGCAGGGTGGGGAGGGCTGTGGGGAGAAGTTGGCTGCTCTAGAAATAAGCTGCCTCGGCGGGGGTTCGAGCTTTCCCAGCCCTGGGTTCGGTCCCCAGAACCACAGAACGCAAGCACCTGAGCAAGCAGACTGCCTGTAGGCTGATGGAAAGGACGGATGAATGCACCGACCGGTGGATGGTGGATTTTTTGAAAGGAAAAGAAAGAGCGCTCCTTCCCGGCTCCAGCGGAGACGTAGCGCCTGCCGCTGTTCACTCGCATAGTTCACGTGGGACGCGGCACGTGGCCTGGGACGGGAGGGACGCTCCCCAGCCCGCTCTTTCCGGGCAGGCGGCCCCACCGCTTCCTAGCAGCAGTGTTCCGAGCGCCAGGGACGGGCACAGGGCACGTGTCTGTGACCCCAGCTACTCTGGACACCAAGGCAGGAAGATCTGAAGTTTGAGTTTCATGTGACCAACTTAAGTAAAATCCTGTCTCAAAATTAAAAGTAAAAATGACTGGGGTGTAGTTCAGTGGTTGAGAGCTTGCCTAGCATGTACAGAGCCCTGGGTTCCACCCCTAATATGGGGGAAAAAAACCCAAAAACACCTTGCGACCCTAAATGAAGCCCAAGTCACGCTCTCTTAACAGTTGATTTCTTACTGCAGTAAGGACCCGTAAAGGGCCACCGTGAAAGTCAGACCTCATCCCGAGGCTCCCCTTGCGCGAACCCTGTCCGGCTGCATTGACGGCGCAGCACGGGCAACAGCAATCTGGTTGTCGTGGGGTTTGGGGCCACCCACGTGCTCTGGTACCTCTGCCAGGACCCGTCTCCCACTTAAGGTCACATTTGTCAGTCCCGGGGATTAGGAATGGGCCTGTGTTTTGGGGGCCACCAATTCGAGCCCTGTATTCGCTGGACATTTCTAACTTAAAATGGTTCCTGTACCTGCTTGTTCACTTTCCATGACATTGACTTTTGGAAGCACCGTTTAGGATGGTCCCCATTCTACATAACATGGAATGTCCCCTCCACATCAACCCTTTTGGCACACGTAGGTGACATAGGTACTTACTATATGTCTTATTTTTTCTTGTTGGTGGGACAGAATATCTGACACCCAAAGTTAAAGGAGGAAAGGTTTATTTAGTTCACGGTTTGTAGGGGTTTCAGTCCACAGTTGGCGGGCTCCAAGGCAGAAGGGCATCGCAGAGGAGAAACGGTCCGTGACACGGCAGGCAGGAGGCAGCAAGCAACACCAGCCTTCCTTTCCCTTTTTTCTCATCCAGGCGACCCGCCTTTTGGGTGGAGCTACTCCACTGAGTGTGGGTCTTTCTACCCACACCCGGAACAGTGCAAAACCAATTGGTGAGCTCATCCACTACCACACCCCTAGTCCACATGCACACAGCCTAGGTCCCATCACCTCCAAGGAGCCCCGCCTATGACCTCAGAATACTTCAGGAGAGACGTGACGTCAGGTAGTCCTGCTCTGGGTGACACTGAGACTCCTCACTTGACTAAGATGACCGTGGTCAGACGTCTGCCGTAGAGCTACATTTTCCCCTTTGCAGTTAACACGTTACCTGCAGCACGGTGCTGTGAGTAGCTGGCTCCTGGGCATCTGACGGGAGTCTGCGGCACTTAAGGCATCATTCCTCCTGGTCCCTTCACTTGTGTGTGAGCTTCCATCCGTAAGGAAGTGTGAGCTTTTCTCCCCTCATCCTTTTTACTGCTACAGTAGGCAGAGCCAGGGCACCGAGTGTGCCGGGCAAGGGCTCAACCATCACGCTGTACCCCTAGTGCTATTCTCCCCACCCCAGCCCCATCCTTCCAGACCCTATTTTTATTTTATTTTTTAAATTTAAATTTAAATTTCACGGCGAGTGAGGCCCTAGGGGACAGAATCCAAGACCCTGGCCGTGCTCCGCACCCCGGGCCACACTCCCGGCGCCCGGCCCGCACGTGAAAGGCGCAGTGTTGCTCCACCTTTGGAAGCTTGCAGCCTTTGTGGTCGGTGCTTTTGTGAAACAGTTTCGCCTTTGCCTCCGAGCTGTTATCATCATCATATCGAGCACTTACTGTTTGCCAGGCACCGTGCAAATACTTCGGCCCTCGCACGCTCGTGTTGTAGGAAATGGACCTGGTGTCATGGTTCTGGCGCCGCTGAGCGGTGACTTGGGTCTCTGAGGCTGAGATCATGCTCTGAACTTCCTATTTATTTATTGACAGCCCTTGGGTTGAAGCCGGGACCCTTGCTCTGAGCTACGACCCCAGCCTCTTTCTTCCCTTGAGACAAGGTCTCACCGAGTTGCCCGGGCTGGGCTTCAATTTGCGATTCTCCTGCCTCTGCCGCTGTACACTGTGCCTGACTGTGTCTTCAGTTGAGAATTTTAGAAGCCGAGGTGGGAGAAGTTAAGAACTCGGAGTGGCAGAGATTGGGCAGGAAACCAAACCCCGAAGTCCACCCCGGTCCTGGCCATCTCTCTTCCCCCAACCGCCCCGATCTCAGAAAGCTGGGAATTGTTTGCATGTGCAGCATTTGCATATTTACTAAAGCATATGCCACAGTGATTTTGAGCTAATTTGCTGGATACTTCAGATACAACTTAAATGGAAAGCGGAGGAGGAAGAGGGAGTGTGAGCATAGGAAGCACAAACGAGCAGCACAGGCGGGGTGAGGGCTTGCCACGGTGGCTGCGGGTACCCCCACCCTGCATGAGCTCCATGCCGCTTTCCTGAGCCCAGGGAACAGCTGACCGGCTACATGGCTCAACTGACCAAAAAGGAAAATGCTGTCAGTTCCTCAAGAAAAATGAAACTCTTTCACGAACGTGCCTGCGTTGGTTTTAGTACAGGGGACAGTGGAGAGCCGACAGACGGACCTATGCAGTGGGGACAGTGATTCCCATGGCCGGAATCACTTGTCAGCTCAGGGCTCAGCGGCTTAGCAATGTTGGCATCAACTCCAAATGGTGCCTCAGGGCCGCAGGCCACTTCCTGCCGCTCCTGGTGTCCAGCACGGCGTCCAGGGTCACCTTCACGAAGGGCCAGTACAGTCTGCATCCCAGGAGGGCTTCAGGGACCAACCCGGAAGTAGCACCCACTGACCACCCTGCCTGGCTGCTTGGAAGTCGGAGCTGTGCTCTGGCCTCTGGCCCGGGAGGAAGGAGTGGTGGGTTTGGTGAGCAGCTGGCCGGTGTATCAGTCAGCGCTCACTAGAGGAACAGTGTAGAGCAGGTATGTGAACATATCTGGGCTTACGGGCGGGCTTACAGTGGCCGCCCAGAGTCAGGTGGGAAGGGCGTAGGAGGGCGTCTGCGTGCTGGAGAGCCGAAGGACCCAAGGGTGGAAGGCCTAGACCCCACAGAGTCCTGTGCAAGTCCCTCCCTCCGTGTCAGGAGGCCAGAGGGACTGTGCTGGAAGCCAGGAAATGACGTCCTAGGCAGTGTCAGACTGGAGCTCCTCCGTGAAACAGCGGTGAGCCTTCCTTCCTCTTCCGACTGCACGCCTGTTGGCTGGTGCCACTCACACCCAGGGTGCATCTTGAGCCTCTCCCAGAACCGTGCTAATCCAATCAGCTAGGCTTCCTTACTCAAACTGATGGGACAGCTCATGAACAGAGGACTCTGCCACAGGGCAGAAGTACCCTGCAGAGGCCCCAGCCCCAAGCCCCTTGCTGAGCACCTCTTGACCTTCAAGATAATTAACCCGACCTCTTTCTGGACCCAGAGAGCAGGACACACACACTCCTGGCTGGAGAGAGTGGTTATAATGGCTTTTGTTTTTTTGAGACATGGTCTTACTGTAGTCCAGGTTGGCCTTCAATTCACTATGTAGCCCAGGCTGGTCTCAAATTCACAGTGATCCTCCTGCTTCAGCCTCTTGAATGCTGGGATTACAGGGGTGCATCACCACACGTGGTGGACTTTTTTTTAATGCCACTTGACTTTGAATGTCTTAAACCTGAATTTCTTAAACCTTAAGACTAAACCTCTTAGAACTAAGCTTTTGCCTTACCTGTGGCCCTGACACCTGGCCAGGGTACCCACTCAGGCACTCTGAAGTCACTTGATTTGCAGTAAACAACAAATGCTGGTAGGCAGTGTGTGAACGCCACCCTCTTGGTGGACTCTCGTGCTCTTACTGGGGTGGGGTGAGGAAAGGCAAGATGCGAGTCACCCGCAGTGGGGTGTTGCTCCGTGGGCGAGTGAGGTGCTGCGTTTGGTTCCCTGCGCCAGAGTTTAAAAAATCACTCGACCTTGGGGATTGGTGTGAGGAGGTAGGGGTGAGGCTCTTGGCAGCAACTTTTTTTTATTAATTGTACTTTATTTGGGGTAGGGGAGTAAGGCAGATTTTAAGAGTGGACCACAAGGTATTTTGCCGAGCGCGCATACAGGCAGTTGGATGTTCGCATCCCTTTGGAGAAGAAGAAAAGTCAGGTTGTAAAGCACACTTTTGAGCCGAGTGCTTACACATTTTCTTTTCTTCTTTGCAGTGCTGTATCGGAAAGGCCCTCCATTTTACCATGCCAGGTTTGGAGCAGTTATTAAATACCTAGGGAATGAAACGATACAAGGGCCTCTGGCCTCCAGTTCAGTTTTCAGCACCATGGAGACAGCTAAAAGCTGTGCTCCTCTTGGCCCTGATAGGAATCAGTGTTAAATGTCCATGTTGGCTCAGGTGGAGCACAAAGCTGGGAGGCCCTGGGTTCCGTCCCTCACACCGCAAAAAAAGAAAGGAAAGTGCCTGCCTCGAACTGCCGTGTTACAGTGCAGAGAGAACACACGTAGGTGACGGCAGTGTGTTCGTGTGTTAAACATGGGGTCACTCTATGCAGTAATTGTTCATCTTAACATCACTGAGTATTATTGTCTCAAAGGTTGGGTGAATTTATAGCATCCATCCCAGGAAAAACATTTCCCGTGAGTGTAAAATCAGCCTAAAGTTTTGTACCTTGCCCTGCGTTTTCATTAGTGTTTTCTCAGCCGCAGCGTGGGGTGTCTAGGATCCGATGCGGCTCGGTCTTCCCCTTGCTCAGAGCCCGTCGGTGTCTTGCAGCTATTCTGTCATCGTGGAGCTCGTGGACGAGCGCTTCGCAGGCCCCCTCCGCAGACCTTTCACTTGGAAGTCGCTGGCCACCCTCAGCAGAGTTTCAGGCAATGTCTCCAAGGTAACCCACCGAAGCCTGGCACCCCAGTGCCACAGAAACGCACAATTTTTTTTTTTTTTAATGTAGTAGAATGATATATCTGCCAGTGAAATGCTAGAAGATTGAGGGTCTTTTGCACCCCTCATTTACTGGGTCAGAAGTTGTCCTCTTGCACTGGCCTGTTTTGGTCTTCGCTCACTCTCTCAGAGGGGCACGGCCCCGGTCCTCTGGCGTCTGCCAGGCGTCACCTTCCTCCCCAGCCCTCACTGTCCCACAGGCTCTTCCTCTTGTAGTTGTATCGGGTACATTCACACGTTCACATTCACAAAGGAACCAAGACGTTGGCGGCACATTTTTTTCTGAGCTTGCAGATCCCTTGAAAGAGAAAGGGAGGGGTGAAATGTGCTGCTCAGCACTTGGTCACCGTCATCATGCTGAGAAATACAGGGTCACTAACGCAGACCGTGGCCCTCCGGCCTCCGTTCTCCTCCAGCAGATGGGGAAGTTTCCTCTCACACTGGGACGATCACCACCTCCAGCTTGGGCTGGGGGTGTCGCTCAGGGCGAGAGCGCCTGCTTGGCCTTCACAGGGTCCATCCTCTGCGCCATCCACCCCTGGTGCTGGCTCACTGACTCCCATGACCGCCCACCCCCACTTTACCCTCTGGCCGTGTCGGGGCGCGGATGGGAGGCCGAGGCTGGGCAGTAGAGGTCTGCACTGTTGATAGTCAGTGTCTGCTTGACTGCACCTCTGGCCCTGGCCGCGATCGCCGACTGGCAGCTCCTTAGCGGGAAAGCCAAGCACTGGCTTCAAGTTCCCAGGGGAGGGGCTGGGGATTTAGCTCAGCGGCAAAAAGCGCCTGTCTGGCAAGCGCAAGGTCGCGAGTTCGGTTCCCGGTACCGGAGAAAAACCCAAAAAA